CTGCCCCCTCCGGCCTCTGCCTTTCCTAACACCCCCAACATCAGACTGTAACCCCTCCCCCACCTTGCCCCTGCCTGTCTCCTCTCTTTCCCCCCCTTTCTCTTCTTTCTAGCCTGATTCATCTCTATGCACTATCTGAGCACCACCCGGCCTAACGTGGGCATTTCCCCTTCTTTTCTGCTTTTCACTTCCTAGAACCCCATTAGCTAGAGGGGAATGCTGTAGATCACAGAGAGTCTTTTTTTTTTTTTAAGAAAAAAAAATACGTGCACATATTTCATCCGCAGCTTTACCCTGGAGTCCCTTCTTTCAAGGAGTTCTAGATGGAAGTCAGATTTTCTTTATGTTCCTCCTGGCCCTACCCCTTCCTCTTCTCTCTCCCTCTGCCCTCCTGGCCCTACCCTTTCCTCTTCTCTCTCCCCTCTGCCATCTGAGTTTAAACTCCCATATTGTCCCATTACCAACACTAGTCAAAAACAACAAGCTGAGTGCCAAACCGGTATGCCCACTGTCCAAAGTGGCAATCTGGCATCAGGCCTTCCAATCATATGGCTTATCTACCTAATAAGCAGAAAGGAAGCCCCAACACAGATACCCTTGGACACACCCATAATACCCCAAGGTCTGTATCTGAGGGAAAATGGGTACCACTCTCTACAGCATGGCTGCCACAGGTCAGCAGCTGCAGCCACACACGTGGGGACGATGAGACAGCCAGAAGACCTGATGCGTTCAGGCTTCTCCTGACCTCCAGCCTTGAGTGACTATCTCATCTTCCGAGTTTATGGTCCTCTCTCTGCAGAATATATGTGCTGGCCTTCACTAGCCTAGAGCTAGGGCCCTCCATTTTAACTTCTCATTTTTATCTTAAAATTTCCAAACATACTGGGGGTGGGGAGGGAGTTTGTCATAAACTGTACTATCTAACTGCTTCCATAATAGTATTCTTACCACATTTGATTTGTTTGCTTCACTGATAGAAATAGAAGCAAGGAAATATATATTATATAATATATATAATATATATAATATATATAATAAATCTGACTAGATTATTAGAATTGGCTAGGTTCTACAGTCTTATCCTTTAATATTTCAGCATTCATCCCCTCAGACTAAGAACACTTTCCTAAACCAGGTGTGGTGGTGCATGCCTTTAATCTTAGCACTCAGGAAGCTAAGGGAGGCAGGGATACAAGAGACCTAGTCTCAAGAAACAAAATAACATTCTCCTATCTAATCACATTATCATATCTTTTAAAATTCCATAGTAACCCTACTATTTTAGAGTAGTTTGTTGCCCCAAAAACATATTAATAGCAATTCCTCCAGAACTTTCTATTTTTAATACAAGCATTTATGGATCACTTACTGTGTGACAGATGATATGTTCCACACTGCATATATATTTTGTAACCCCTGTGAGTTAAATGTTCTTTTTAAATTTTTAAAGTCTTTCTCTGTGTATCTCTCTGTCTGTCTGTCTGTATCTGTGTGTGTGTGTGTGTGTGTGTGTGTGTGTGTGTGTGTGTGGTGAATTTGTGTTGTATCAATGTGTGGATGCCACAGAGCCTATGAGGTCAGAGGACAACCTTGAGTGTCGATCTTCACCATCTACGGGGTCTTTTGTTTGCCATTGCAAGCACCAGGCTAACTGGCCCATCTCACCATATGAGCACTGGGGTTCCAGGCATGCCACATCTGGCTTTTTTACATAGATCTTGGAGATTTGAACTCAGTTCTTCACATGCACAGCAGACACTTTACCTACTGATCCATTTCTCCAGCCCCATTTCCATATTATAGTCATCTTTTTATTATTTCAACTCTGCAAAGGAAGAAACAGAACAAGATGCCCAAGGTCTCCTATGAGAAGGATTTAGACAAAGGCAGTCAAGCTCTAGAGGCCATGTGTGGCCTGTCCGCTAACTACACTGCCTCCTTTGCAGACCATAAGCTGGCAGAGGACCAACATCTCCAACTGCCAATGTTTCATAAGAGCACACTGGGTCTCTAAGGGTAAGCGGCATACCAAAAAACAGCTAAAGGCAGATATTCTGGTCTGCCTTATAGCTCAGTAAGTGTTTTGGCATTAATGTGTAAACTGTGACTGTCTGCTAATCCCATGATGGTCACTGCTAACAAGTGAGCCCATTCAGTGGTGTCCTTACTATCCTCTACTTGACTTCAATCAGATTAATTTGACAATCAACTGAAAACCACCCTGTTCACCCAGTGGCTGGAAGGAAGCCATTCAACAAATCCACCCCGTTCCTTGTATCTTAGATGAGTACTAGATTGTGTGGACTTGGGATACTCAATGACAGTTCTTACAGTACTAGACTGTATAGACTCGGGATAGATAGACTGTTCTCACTTGCAATCAACAAGAAAGGAAGTCCAGTGTAGACTTGTGATCATTGCTAGAATGTAAAGTGAACTGTGATGAGGACATAGGCAGGTTATTTCTGCAGGAATACTCAGGGGAAACTTTCTTAATAAGGTCAAATTTGGGCAGAGGTCTGAAAGAAGAGAGAAATAGATATACAAATATCTTAGAAAAGAGCAGCCAGGCAGAAAGGACAGAGCCCTGAAAGAGCCCTGAAAAGGAGTAGGCCTAAGGTGTCTATAAAAAAGCTCCAAACTAGTTCCCATAGAACAGAGAGCAAGGGAAAGGAAGGTGGGATTTTTTTGAGTGGGAGGTGACCAGAGGTTTTAGGGCCTTACAGGCCCTGCTAAGAACTTTGGATCATGGTCAAGAGAATGAGATAGCCAAGTTGTAGAAGGTCTAAGGTAGAGACATGACATTATTAAATTATAGGCTTTTCTGTATATTTTGTTTTGATGCTGGGCTTGTAGGAGAGGCAAGGTTGAAAGCTTTGAGGCCAATTAAATTAGTTCAGGCAAGGAGTAGAGTTAGGTAGAGAGAGCTTAGAGAAGAGCGTGTCACTAGAGGTAGTGAAAAGTCGTATTCTAGACACACTGGAAGATAATGTGGTCACATTGTGTGCAGAGTTTTAAAAGTACGATCTGAACGAGTCCAAAATTATCCCAATATTGAGATCTGAGGCACCACAAGAGAAGAACATCCATGTACTGAGGAGGTAGAGTGGAAACTAGGGGCTGGATAAGCCCCGAAGCTATGGGGATGAGGCTTGAATTGTGTTTGGCTGACTTAGGTCTGAAGTTTGATGTAAACAATATATATACACTGGGTAAAGAAGACATTTAGGAGTTAGGGGAGGCGTAAGAGTTAGAGATAAAACTTCTAGACCTATGCAGACCCAAATGAGGATTAAAACCAAAGGACTAGCTGGGCATGGTGGCACACAGCTTTAATCCCAGCACTTAGGAGGCAGAGGCAGGCAGATCTCTGTGATTTTGAGGCCAGCCCTTATCTATACAGCGAGTTCTAGGACAGCCAGATCTACAAGAGAGAACTTATCTCAACTCCCTTACCCCATCCCACCCCCCAAAACCAATAGACTAGGATAAGTTCATTTAAGGAAGAGATATAATCAGAGAAGTTGTCAAGAACTAATCCTGAGTTGCCCACTTCTAGAGTAGAATACAGAAGAGACTAAAAAGAGGCAACCAAGCCCAAGACCCAAGAGAATGACACCCTGGATCCCAGCAGAGAAGGCTGGGAAGGAGACTTACTCATGCTGTCCAATGTTGCTCCCACCGAACCTAAAATGAGCAATACGGAGTGACCATTGGTTTGGCAGCAGAGAAGTCATTGTTAATCTTGCAAAGAGCTGTCAGTGGGACCGGGTGTGCTACTGATTCAAGTGAGTGGGAGTTAGAACAGAGGAAAGGAAGTGACAACCTTGGGAGTACCATGGTTGTCTGATAGAAGCCATGAAGGTTCTTTTTGAAGATGCAGACACTGGAGCTTGATGGGCACTGACTGGAAGTCAGGTGGAGAGGGAAACACTGAGGGTTCAGAGAGGAGCAGGCAATTTCAAAAGAAAACCTTTTTTTAAGACAAGGTCTCACTATATATCTTGGCCAGCCCATTCTATCTAGACCAAGCTCGTGTTGAACTCACGAAGATTGTCCTGCCTCTGTCTCCAGAATGCTGAGATTAAAGACATGATGAGCCACTACACCTGGCTGGATCAAACTCATAGTAGGTCAACAGAGAGTGGAATGCAGGGATGGCACCGAGGGCATGACTGTAGGGAACAGCCAGTTTTCAACCATTGGTGATGAAGGAACTATGCCAGTGACCACATGTGCAAGCTGCTCAGATGTTGTTCTGTGAAGAGGCGGGAATATTATTCCAAGCTCCACTTCAATCAACATAACTCAAAAGTCCATTCAACTACAAGTGTACAGAGAACTTGGCACCAAGTGTGATGCTGCCACTTTCTCGGGAGTCTTTCTAGGGACACTATAGGACTAGAACTCCAAAGCCTTGAGGTCATCTATGCAAGCACAGAGGATCACTTTAAATGTCTAACTTTATTGACAGGAAGAGACCTTACCAGCCTCAGCCCACTTTTCTGCATTTCCTCCTGGGTAGTTACAACCACCTTGATGGCCCCCATGACTTGGAGGCATCAAAGCAGACAGCATAGTGAGAAGAGAGCTGAGATGTCAGCATGAGACATCATGCTGACTCAGGCTAGGATAAGACACTGTAGGATGGAATGTTCCCACACCCCAGTCGTCTGGGCTGTAACTCGGAGAGGCATAGAGGTCTTGAGATTTAATCTAACTAATCGGTATTATCCAGATGCCTTGAGACAGCCCAGTCCCATGCAGGAGCCTGGGTCTTTGATGTTTTTGTCATAAATTAATGAGTTCACCCACAAAATAACATCAAAGACAATCTACTAACTAATTCACTGTTATCATCTTCCAATCTGTGGCTGCATTGGAAAGTCTCCAAAAGAAGGAGCGTGGCCAGAAAGAGAAACCAACTGAAAGATCTGGAAAGAGATGAGAAGAAAAATATGTCCCACATAGGAGACTGCAGAGGAGCCAGGGAAAGCACTGGCAAACCTCGGGGAGGGAGAGGAAGGAGAGGGAAGACAGGGCCTGGGAGGAAAGTCATCCCATGAATGCTTGAGGGGAAACTGTGGCCTGGAAAGTCCTAAGTGGTGTCATTGTGCAGAAGCACTGGAAGCTGGGAGGAAGTGTGTGGTAGGAACCAGTGTCTCTGGAGCCGGATTGCATGGGGCACAGCCTCTGGTTCTGTTATTATCTGTGAAGTCATGTGATCACTCTCCCTTCCAGCTAGGAGCCACCAAGCACAGGAAGCTTTCTCTAGGTCTTACCTGACTTCCAAACCAAGCCTTTGAGAAGAAAACAGGGAAAGATTTATGTGGCTACCCCACCGGATGTCAGTGACACTTCTTCCCTGCCCAGCAGGACTTCCTAAAGCACAAAAAAGATAGACACAGTCAAGCATCAGTTCAGCCAGTCAGCAGACTAAACATTTACTACCCACTTGCCAGAAAGATGACCATGGGGTGTTCCCATCCCTATACAAGCACAAAATTTCAGCAGTGGTGACCAAGGATATGGTTTTGAATATGATTTTTTCCCTCCAAAATGCATGGTGAGGGGCTGGAGTGGTGGCTCAATGGGTATGACACTTGCTGTATGAGCTTGAGGACCTGCATTCAGAACCCCAGCACCCACATTAAAAGCCAGGCATGTCTGCACACATCTGTAACCTCAGCGTTGGACGGAGAGAAGAAGCAGAGGTGGAGAATCGCTGGGGCTTGCTAGCCACAGCTTAGAGGGGAAATGTGGAGTCCAGATTCAGTGAAACACCCTGTCTTAAGGGAGTAAGGTAGGCACACGCAATGTGCATAAATACATCGATACACACATACACATACATAAAATACACACACACACACACACACACACACACACACACACACACACAAATACCTAATTATATTAAGAAAACCAAGTGGGACTTTTAAGAGGTTATTAAGGCTTATGCATTTAATGAAGTAATGGATTAATGGGCTAGTGGGTTATCTTAAGAGTGGATCTGTGAGGCTGGAGTGATGGCTCAGTGGTTAAGAACACTGACTGCTCTTCCAGAAGACCTGGGTTCAATTCTCAGCATGCACATGGCAGCTCATAACTGACACTTTCACACAAACATACATGCAAGCAAAACAAAAATACACATGAAATAAAAATGGATGATTAAAAACAAAAAGTGGATCTACCATAAAAGCCAATAGGACCAGGTCTCTCCCCATTCCCTACCTCTTATTTCATGACACTCTGCTGCCACATGACCTTGCCAGCACTTTGCCAAAGACGCATTGACCTCAGAATAGAACCATGTTCCAAAATCAACATCTCTTCTTTATAACTTCCCCAGTCTATGATGTGTCAATAGCAGAAAAGAAACAGACTAGGAAGACAAGAGTGGTGACGCATATCTAATCCCAGCACTTGAGAGGTGAGAACAGGAGTTCAAGGTCAGCCTCTGGCACATACCAAGTGTCAAACGCCAGTCTGGTCTACAAGAGACCCTGGTGCCAAACAAAGACTGAAATAACCAAAGTCTATGATAAATGCTAACATGAACACATAGCCCTGAGAGGTGGAGCCCGTAAAAGTATGTGGAATTTGCAAAGTACCTTCAAGGATTAGTGTCAGACTTCTAGACAGCAGCAGAAGCTAAGAATGCGTGCATAGTACCTGGGGAGTCTCTAGAACTGCAGACTGAATGAGGCAGCAGCCAGGCAGAGACAAGGGCAACTATAAAGTCTCCAGAAACATGAATGAGGGGACTGCCCTAAAAATAGTGCCAGAGGAGGCAGGCTATGACACATGTCTGCAAGCGGAGTCACTAGGAGGTGACTAAGCCAGAGTGGGGTTGCCTCCTTGTGTACACCTCTTCCCCTTCTCCAGGAAGTGGAGTGGGAGGGAAAGGTCTCCAACTAGAATTCATAGCCATCAGGGAACTAAAGAAACTAGGATAACACCAGAATAAAACTATTGGCCAAAATAATTGCCTGTCATTACAACAGCCACTGTGCTAGAGGCTGTGCGAGCCACCTCGGGGAGGCTCCTGATGGAGAGTCACTAGGGAATGATTGGCTCAGGGTCTTATGTCCACATCAAGCACACTGGCAGCAAACTCAGCAAGCAGCACAAACCACAGCACCGGGAGAGACTGTGACTAAATGAAGGGCATGATCTCAGGAAGTAAAGGCATAAAGGGTAAAGGTGCCTCTAAGGCATTAATTGCAAGAACCAACAGGGATCATGCAACTCAACCAATTTCAACTGAAGAGCTCTTTGTTCAGACACCATCTCACATGAAAGATCTATGAAAAAATGAGAGAGGTGGATTTGGATAAAGAAAGACACACCTCATTTGTTCTCCCACCCATCCCCCACCCCCCCCCCCCCCCACCCCC